CAAACGAATTAACAGAGTAGTATGCCGCTATGATAATAGTTTCAGCTATTCTTCCCACTTGTGCATATATGCGTAGACATGGCAAATAATTAGAAGGACAAATAATGGACCAACTATACAGGGTGTCCATAAAGTTCGTGTGCACTTTAAAAAAATTATAACTTTATTTCTATTTGCGATAGAAATATTCCGTAAAAATGTTGTAAAGTTTAATGTACCTAGTTTTAAGTATCGCTAAAATAACTAATGTGATTTCAGGCCTTAATGTAAATCAGTTGGCAAATGTTTTCCGTGAACTGCAAAATCGTATTACCCTTTGTATTGCTAATGATGGAGGACATGTGGAAACTTAAATAGAATTTCAATAAAACCTTTAAAAAAATATAGATTTACTTCTTTCTAATCCTTTTTGCAAATTATTTCTATCGCAAATATAAATAAAGTTATAAATTTTTTAAAGTGCACGCGAACTTTATGGACACCCTGTATAAGCCAAATTTATTTCTCAGTACTCTTAACGTTGAGTCTCCAAGAAAGAATTAGAAGCTGAAGTTGGTAACTCAAAGTCAGTAGCCGTTCTTGTCTTGGAAGGATTGGTCCATTGATTGGCGACAATCAAAAAATACCATTTCCCTCTATCCAAATCCTGCCAGCACGCTGATCTCAATAGAGAGACAGATATGAAATATTACTGAATCTTTCTTCCATTATATATACATTCACTCTCTGTGTTATACATTACACACACTGATTAAGATTCCAACGCTTAGAAAGTAATTTTCATTTTAATCTTTTCTTCTCTGTAACAAACATCAATTCATAGTGATTCATAAATAAGAAACAAGGATTGCGTCCAATCGGATTTCCTTCGCGATTGTCCGTACGCCTTGACGATCATTCCTCGGTCCAGTGACCTTTCACGGCCTAGGAAGGTCTTCTATCGTTATTTAGTGGAGGGGATCGCGAAGGATCCTCTACGTGAGCGGATCGACTTGTCGGAGGAGGAGTTTCGCTCTTTCTGGTCTTGGGTGCCAGCGGCCGATTATCTCAGATACCCTGAGTTTTCGCTTACCTGGCGACTGGCTCGGAATCGGCTGCCTCTCAATGACATGGTCTTCATATGGGGCTTGGCGGATTTGCCAGACTGTGAACGGTGATCACTCTATCCGGCATGTGTCGGGTAAGTATGTAAGTAATCGCTGTAATTATTGTTAAAGAGTAGAAAACGTAAAAAAAAACAATGTTGAAAGACTGATGAAGGTTATGGAATATCAAGGAGCCAATATTAATATGTAAAATAATAAAATAATAACTTTTTCAGGCGTCTGGTATATCGTATTAATCAAATTTACAGTGTAACCCGGATGTAAGAGACCCGGATATATATAAGAGATTTTCTCTGGTCCCAAATTAGAACCTGTGTTAATGTATATAAATTAGACCCAACCGGATATAAGAGAAAACCCGGATATAAGAGATTTTATCTGGTCCCAAATTAGAAATATACCCGGATATAAGAGAAACCCGGATATAAGAGAGATTTTATCTGGTCCCAAATTAGAACCTGTGTTAATGTATATAAATTAGACCCAACCGGATATAAAGAGAAACCCGGATATAAGAGATTTTCTCTGGTCCCAAATTAGAACCTGTGGATTGATATAAGAGAAACCCGGAGATCTGGTCCCAAATTAGGATATAAGAGAAACCCGGATAAGAGAAACCCGGATATAGAGAGATTTTATCTGGTCCCAAATTAGAACCTGTGTTAATGTATATAAATTAGTCCCAACCCGGATATAAGAGAAACCCGGATATAAGAGAGATTTTCTCTGGTCCCAAATTAGAACCTGTGTTAATGTATATAAATGGATTAGAATAAGAGACCCAACCCGGATATATATATTTTCTCTGGTCCCAAATTAGAACCCGGATATAAGAGAAACCCGGATATAAGAGAGATTTTCTCTGGTCCCAAATTAGAACCTGTGTTAATGTATATAAATTAGATAAAGAGAAACCCGGATATAAGATTTTCTCTGGAAACCTGTGTTAATGTATATAAATAAGAGACCCGGATATAAGAGATTTTATCTGGTCCCAAATTAGAACCTGTGTTAATGTATATAAATTAGACCCAACCCGGATATAAGAGAAACCCGGATATAAGAAGATTTTATCTGGTCCCAAATTAGAACCTGTGTTAATGTATATAAGAGAAACCCGGATATAAGAGAAACCCGGATATAAGAGAGATTTTCTCTGGTCCCAAATTAGAACCTGTGTTAATGTATATAATTAGACCCAACCCGGATATAAGAGAAACCCGGATATAAGAGATTTTATCTGGTCCCAAATTAGAACCTGTGTTAATGTATATAAATTAGACCCAACCCGGATATAAGAGAAACGGATATAAGAGGATTTTTATCTGGTCCCAAAAGAAGTGTTAATGTATATAAATTAGACCCAACCCGGATATAAGAGAAACCCGGATATAGAGAGAACTCTGGTCCCAAATTAGAACCTGTGTTAATGTAAATAAATTAGACTGGTCCCAATTAAACCTGGATATAACCCGGATATAAGATAAGAGAAACCGGATATAAGAGACCCGGATATAAGAGAGGATATAAAAGACCCAACCCGGATATAAGAAAACCCGGATATAAGAGATTTTATCTGGTCCCAAATTAGAACCTGTGTTAATGTATATAAATTCCGGATATCCGGAGAGATTTTATCTGGGTTAGAACCTGTGTAATGTATTTCTTCAGAAACCCGGATATATTTTATTTCCCATTAGAACCTTATACATGATAAATTAATTAACGGATATAAGAGAAACTTTGTTGACATTATAAAAGATATGGACAAACCCTAAAACAAATTATTGTCATTGTCAATATTTTAAATAATCTGTCTATATTTCTGAGATGAGGTATTATGTACACTATTTACATTATTCGGACTATTGGCGACAAAGATGAGAACAATAGTCCGAATAATATAAATAGAGTATTATAAATAATGTTCTGATGAACTTTCCTGTATGGTACCTCGACTTTATGAATTTAAACGCGGAACTAGATTGACGACAATGTTTCATCATTTTACTGTTGAATTTGCTAAATGTAGCCGTAAATTCTTTGTTGACAAATTCTACTATCGCACTTCTCTAACTCACTACCAGCTTTTTGCTTTCCAGTCAACTATGATAAATACACAAGGAAAAAAGGTTGTGTAACCTATATTTAACATGTAGATAGTAGATCTATTTTCTATTCTTTCATGCCAATTCTTCAGATGAACGTTCTTCAATAAGACCTCGACTTTATGAATTTAAGCGCAGTACTCGATTGGCGGCAAGGTCTCGTCATTTTAAAATTGAAGTGGCTAGATATAACACGTTTGTATATCTTCCGACATTTTGATTCCGAGTCATCATTGTTCTTCAAAATTTTAAATGTATTGTCAATCCTTAGCTTCTGTCTTCTTAATTCATGTTCTTTTATTGATCTCTCTGGCATATTTTATTAATCTGGCATATTGTATTAATCAAATATATCATCCTATACCTTTTTGGCTTTACTTATAAATGAAAAATTAATTAGCACTTTGTTGACATTATAAAAGCTGACAGACCCAAAATAAATTATTGTCACTATTTTAAATAATATTCTGATGAACTTTCCTCTACCTAGTACCTAGACTTTACGAATTTAAACGCGGAACTAGATTGGTAACAAGATCTCACCATTTTACTGTTGAATTGGCTAAATGTAGCCGTAAGTTCTTTGTTGACAAATTCTTCTAGCGCACTTCTCGAACTCTCTTCTTACTTTCCAGTCTTCAAATATGTAAATGCAATGTCAATCGTTATCTACTGTCTTCTTGATTTTTCTTTTATTGTTCAAACTCCCTCATAACGTTTCCCTTTTTTATTCTTTAACTCATTTATTCCTTGTGTCTTAGTGGCTTTATTGCCTTGATTGGGGTGAAATGATTAGAAAAATGAATATATAATAAGTTAAAACTCATGCGATATATTACCCAGATAAAAATATCAATATCGGTTGTTTAATAGCAATTTTATTGTGAAAGAATAGATTTGCATAATAAAATCTGACTTAGTTCATTTGTGTGTGTGTGTGTGTTTGCGTGCGTGCGTGCGTGTGTGTGTGTGTGTGTGTGTGTTTGTGTGTATGCGCGCGTGTGTGCGTGTGTAGATGAACTGCACAAAGAAGAGAAAGCATAAATTTGTTTTTAATAAGAATTCTTGAACATTCAGGCCGGTAGACGAAAATAAATAAATCTACTGTTTAATAAACAAACGGAGCGTTTACTCAAATACGAGTATCCACTAATAATAACGTTTAAAGGGATAAAAAAAATCTGTCGGATTAATATAAAAAATGATATCTGCATCAACCATTATTCAGTTTTTTTTTATTTGTATTTCTTTTGTTTTAATTTTAGTTACTTTTCATCACCACTACTCAGGTCATCAATCTACTTCCACGTATCCGAAATAAGGAATCGACCTGAGGCAAGACTCGAACTTGCAACCTTTCTACCGTCTGAATTATGACAGTTGCATTACTGCATTTTGTCTCCAGTTGTGGTGTCACCAGTTGTAGCCATCTTGCAAACACTTTTAAGGAATGAATTGTAAAGTTTATAAAGATACTGTACGTTTGATTGCATCCTTAGATGTTATTCGTGAAGCACGCTTCAGCGATCATGTCTTTTTTCGATTCAGGATTCACTTGGTAGAAGAATTTCTGCATAGGATACTGTTACTTTCTGGTTACCAACCAAGGCTATATGACCCAATCTGTACTGCAATTTGACCCATGGCTGATGGAAGAAGAAATTGATTCATATCTTTCCTAAGGATATTTGCGTAAGCGACTGTAACGAACTTGACTGGAATTAGAACTCGGCTATCCGATTTCTCATTCTAAGACATTATCGATCACACCACCCACACATCCAAGCCTACAGCGCATAATATTCCTAAGCAGTCACCAATCTAAGTACTGACCAGGCTCAACATTGCTTAACTTCGGTGATCAGACGAGAATCGGTGTTTCAACGTAACATGGCTGTTTGATTAAAAACAAATAAGCCTGATAGCAATAAAACCCCGTCAAATTTTAATTGATAAAGTCTTTCATATCACTTCCTACCCCCATAAATTGTGGAGTATAAATCTGTTAGAAAAAGCCATAAAATATGACCTGTAAATAAAAATCAGAAGGATATAACGAATTAAATTCTATATATTTCAACCAATAAAATCCCATCCGAAGGATTCTTGGATAAATAATCATTACTGGGGCAAATACTGCTAAAATAGATGCGGACGTAATTGTACACACGCCACGTGTTATTTTTGGACCCTTTAGAAATTAACAATAACTTTCTTCAACGCTCCCAAAAATTTGAAAAAAGATTTTCTTGAGCCAGTGTGAAATTAATATCTAACCAATGAAAATCTTGTATTAAAAAATTCACACCTCGATGGAAAATTTGATTTTGAAACGCTATATGGATAAAAAAAAAAAAATAGAAGCGTACAGCTTCTCAAGGCTCGCAACAATTTTGGAGGCCTATTTCCTCGACACGTACGTTCACGCACCCACAACAAATGGAAGAAAGACAACCAGTAGCCTCTGACTAAGGCCTTGTCCATGCACACAATAGAAGGAATTAAACAGAAACCGCTTAAGTCTACAAACTCACAAACACATTAGTCTGACCGTTATAAAGTAAGTCTGTACACACATTTCACACCGAACCACGAACAATTAATTACTTGATAAAACAAACTTCACTACAAGAAAAATTGAGCATTTTATTGTCATCGTATACCTCTGAAAAGAATATATAATTTTTATTTTATTTGATATTCTGCTTGCAATTTTCCTTCAGAAAATAAACTTTTTATGTCTCATTTAAAAGTTGTTGTTAAATGTTTGGAATCCCGTCACCCAGCAACAAAAACCTGGGTAGACGGATCACAACAGTGGTGACCAACGACATTCAAAGAACATTACTCTAACAGTAATACTGGTATTAAGCTCTTGATTAATGTTATATACTGTACCTATGAACACTAAAAGGTATGCCCCAATCCTCATAAATACGTGGGGATAATTTGCTGTCTAAGTAGTCCAGCACTAGCAGTGATTTACCTACTTCAGGTCGCTGGCGAGTATTGTATTTTGTTGATGTTATAAAGATTACCATTTCATTTCCAACCTCCGTTTTGGTCATTCCTCATTCAGTAACCGTTTCTAGGTTACGATAGATAGATAGATAGATAGATAGATAGATAGATAGATAGATAGATAGATAGATCAGAATGGACCGGGATAGATACATAGATCGATCGATAGATAGATCAGAATGGACCGGGATAGATACATAGATCAATCGATAGATAGATCAGAATAGACTGAGATAGATCGATAGATAGATCAGAATAGACTAAGATAGATAGATAGATAGATAGATAGATAGATAGATAGATAGATAGATATAAAGAGACTGGAATAGTGTTATATACCCTACCTAAGAACACTAATGACTATGTCCCAATCCTCATAAATACATTGGATACTATTGTAAGTGGTGGTAATATGCTAAGTAGTCCATCACTAGCAGTGGTTTGCCTACTTCACGCCGCTGGCGAGTATTGTATTCAGTAACCCTTCTTAGGTTACAACAATTAAATTTCACTACTCGTTTAGATGAGGTAACGTCTGGAACAGTCGTGTCACTGGCGAGTGGAATTTTCAACTAAATAAAATAAACTGGGAATTTTATATTCCAGGAACAAAGTAATCTTGCTGCAGAAAAAATTAATTCACAAGTAATGAATGCGCCGTACAAAATATGCAGCGGGCCAAGGGGAAGCAACTGAAAGAAATTATTTAAACGTATCGACACTTGTATTTGATACAGAACAGTAACTTCAACGTCAGTGAATGCATTCCAACCCAACTTAACATGACATACCATAATAATTACCATATTTTTTTAAAAATATAATCTTGAATAATTAACATAATCATTTTTTTTTTACTCATATTTCTTTCAATAAGTTGCTTTTCATCGTAACTACTCAGCAAACAGGGTGAATCAGGCAAAATATAATTTAGACTGCGTCTGCATGATGAAATTTTATCGTCTGCAATCGCTGACTCGAGCAACTTCAAATTGTAATGCAACTGTCATACACATGCTTCAGACGGTAGAAGGGATGCGAGTTCGAGTCTCGCTTCAGATCGATACCTTATTTACGTTACGCGGAACTAGATTGATGACCTGAATCTGAAATTAACTAAAATTAAGACAAAAGAAATACGAATAAAATGAATATATATATATATATATATATATATATATATATATATATATATATATATATATATATACTCTTAAAGAATTATTTCGGTTGAGCTCTCTTGAGAGAAAGTGTGAGTTTGTAAACAGTGACTTTGACTGCTACTAATGCAATTCTCTCAGTCACTACCGTTTTTATCTAAAAATAAATACAGTTAAATTCACCGTCATCCCTGCTGTGCACAAACGGCTTAGGGGTAGATTCTTCGATTGACGCCAATTCAGTCGGGTTTCGATCCTATCTATATATATGAATAAAAAGAGATGTGGGAAAACTCTTCTTAACCGACGCGTTTCGCCCTTGAGAGACCTTGATAAAGTCCCTCGGAGTTTCATCCTCTGAGGAACTTTATCAGACGCGACGGTTAAGAATAGTTTTTCCTCTCAGCTTCTTATTCGTTTTGTTCATTTATAGATAGGCTTTATATGAAAGATAATTTACACACACACATACATATACACATATAGATACATACACACACACACACACACACACACACACACACACATATATATATATATATATATATATATATATATATATATATATGTATGGATTTTTATTTATTAATCCGACAGATACTTTATCACTTTAAACGTCATTTTTACTGGACACGGTTGTTCATGATGACGGTCGTCTTCGAGTATAGAATCCAGAGGTTAGCAGTGAATATTTCGAAGATAGTAGGAAAGCGTTGTTCAGGTTAGCAGTGGATATTTTGGTAAAAAGTAGCAGAGCATAGTTCGTCCTTCTGTTTCTCTTTGCCTGACAAGCTGGACTGGACATTCGAGTAGAGTAGACAAAATGGCCGCCTTTATACACGACGGATTGAATGTTCTACGTCTTCTGATTGGTTAACCTTCTATTGGTGGACTATAAAGTGAGTCAAGTCATTTGGGCTAATTCACTAGTTACATATATACACAAAAAACTGCAACAGATACCCGTATTTGAATAGACGCCACGTTTATTTATTAAACAGTATATTTATTTATTTTCGTCTACCGGCCTTAATGTTCGAGAAATCATATTAAAGAAAAATATACGCTCTCTCTTCTTTAATAAGATTTCACGAAAATTCAGGCCGACAGATGAAAATAAATAAATATACAGTTTAATAAATAAACGGAGCGTTAACTGAAATATGAGCATCAACTAAAAATAATGTTTAAAGTGATAATATCTATCTATCTCTATCTATCTATCTATCTATCTATCTATATATATATATATATATATATATATATATATATATATGTACATTAACGTCTGCGTACCTTCTTTGTAATGAGTGTACCACTTTTTTGTTCTAATGACGTATTAAAGTACATAGATTTATAATTAAGTTATATCTTGACACTAATGAAAAAATAATTCCTCCACAAATTGGGAATTTTACTGATTCTGAAACTTATACGGCGAACAGGAGAATTTCATTTTCTTCATGACATCGTATGTAATGTCGAGAGATGAAAGCAATATAAAACTGAATTCTAATGCAAGAGAGTTTAGTCGATGACCAATTGGTATAAGAAACCATCCAAAATATACAAAAAAAAACCCCAAAAAAAACCAGTAAAATTTAGTGGTTTGGAACGACATCAAAAGAAATAAAGTTAATAAAAATCGATAGAACGCTGAACAATGTATTAATTTGAGATAGTCCCACTATTACTAGATATAGCAGAAGGTGAAATAATAAACATTGCTCATCTTAATATGTATTGTAGGTAATAAAGTACAGCTATCGACGGCCCCCAAGGGTTCTGTTAACCTAATTTCACCCAGAAGGCTTGGGTCAACCCGTGGTATGGTTTTCAGGCACTTCCAAAGGTGTCGTACGCTGGGATCGACCACTCGTCCGATAACATCAGGAAGTCTCCTTCCTGACACATCGACCTTGGTGAGATTCGAACCCGGGTCTCATGGTCAGAATGCGAACGTTCTAACCACTCGGCCACTGTAAGAATCAAGAAAACGTCCTACTGGAAGTTTGTTCCACAAAGTGGCAGTTCTAGGGAAGAAGCTATCCAAATGGGACTCACTTTTTCCCTAATTGAATACGAAAGAAAGAGATCAGTATTTCAAAATAATACAAACCTACTGACAATTACTCATCTCAGAAATCAAACACTAAATAGAGATGAATTGTTTTCTATTAAACATATATCCATATCCTTGTCTGTTTTCCCGCATGATCAAACTGTTATCATATTGTTGGTACTTAACTACCAGTCATACCATGTGTCAGTATTTACCCGACCTCCCAACAAGACAGGATGTACCACAAGGCCTATTTTTATGAGATCCGATCCGAGCCCTTAGGCTCGGGCAAAATTCGGGATCGGGTTTGTCTACCTCCCCAGACGAGACCCTGTCCTTCAGCATAGCCTCGTCTGGATTCCTCAACGTCTTGATGCTTGTTACAGGTTTGGCGAACCGATTTTTGAATCTCCTCCAAACCACGTCGGGGTCACCACTTGTAAGACAGAGGGGATACTACATGCAGGCGAATGACTCAACATTCCCACCCCAATGAATTCAAAACATACATGGGCTTTTATATATATATATATATATGTAAATTATAAATTTTTTACATACGGTCAAAAACAATTACTCACAACAAAAGATGCATTTTTGTTTCGGTGCAGAGGAGCATCTAAACGGGTGAGGAACGAAGAACAAAGATGC